TTAATTTATCGCCAGCGCTCGACACAGGTTTGGCAAAGCCCCTTGAGCCCGCCGCTGTAGTACCCATGCTTTCACCCATTTAGTGCGGTTACTCCTTATTTGTCGCCTCCGCCTCTTCTTTTCTTTTTCCACTAAAAGCCATTTTAAACTTTTTATCAGACATTGTTCTCGATTAAAAGTACCCATATTACGAGTGGTGCGCAACATCGGTTTGAAAATGGTCTTCTCGTACCATAACAACGGACTACCGCCGCCTGCACACTCGCATGCACAGAAAGTACATGGTGGTTGGCCGTCGGCTGTAGTCTTAGCGGTGTGTTGAAGTGCAACTTTTTGGCCAAGACTATCATCAAACTATCATCCCTCCATCCAAGTCTTCAGTTTGCCCCCATGTGTCTGGCTCGGCTGCAAACATCCAGAGAATGTCTGACATGGGGTTTGGCTGGTTGGCAGCACATACCTGCGGCGTGGCACTGCAGGGCTTTAGGGGAACTGTGGTGCATGTGCCACTCAGCGGCCTTGTCTAATGTCCACTAAGTGGCTTCATGAACACTAATCCACTCAGTGATGAGAAGGCCACAGTCTGATGGCTCTGCTGCAGCCTGCCAAGAGGGCCCAGACACACACTCTAGTACAGGATGGAGCACAGTGAGGACAAACTCCAGACTCCACTGGGAAACATTGCAACTTAAATGAAATTTGATTTCCTTTGCTGGTATTTGACTGTGATGAATCAGTTTGCTCACGCTTTCCTCTTTCTTATTAAATATTTAATTTGAAAAGGGGACAAGGCATTGTATTGCTTTTATATGAAATAGAAGACTCAATAATGGATGGGATGTGGTTAAGATAGTTTTGGAGCTGATTTTCAATAGTGACATATTTCACATCTCTATAAAGATAAGTTTGAACAATGCAACTCATTTGTTGCTGCCTTCACACAAATTTGATTAATGAATCATTTGTTACATTTTTAACTCCTCAAAACAGACAAAGATTAAAAGGTTTGGAAGGAAATCAAAATGGACAGAACAACTGTGATTCAGTGTTTGACATGGTGTCTTTTGGTCTTGAGATATCTCTATTGCTCTTTATTTTTCTATTTCTATTGGCAGATTCAAAGAGTTTAGATGAGTGCTTTTTTGTTGTTGCTCAAGTTCAGACTTCTCAGCTTGCATGGACTCTTCCCCCCTCAGTTAATGCCTCCCTGTGTACACATCCATCCCACTTCCATACCTTCAATACAATATTTCAAGCTCTAAATGTCAACTTTCCTAACACTTTATAAGTATACACTTAATACAGAGATTTCTCTGTTCAACATTCAAAGAAACAAAACATTAACAGTACATACTGTTTTATACCCCTTTCCACCTTTTAAAAGATGGACAAGGGGTATAAAGTGGTCTAAATGAAACATCTGTGATGTGCTTCGGTCAAAATATAACATGAATCAAGCAACAGAGGAGGTTTCTGACCCTGTATAAACCAGCTCTCTCAGAGCGCTCCGTTTTGTGTGTGTGTGAATCTTTAAATGCAATGAGCCCCCCCTGAGTTTTCCTAACAGACATCACTTTGATGCTAGTGAGAATAAAAAATGGCAGACCTGGGCAAAAGTTTTGCTGTAGCCAGGGAGTGGAGTCAATGGGTGGAGATACCAGGGGAGGGGAGGGTATTTCTTTTTCCAGAATCTCACTGTGACGTCACAAGGAGAGCAAATTTGAAATGAAGCATTTCTCTATGTTGTGAGACCTATGCAGACCACAAACAAAGGACTGGATGTGCTTATTTCACATTTTTCACACTAAGGTTATCCAAATATATGTTCAAAAACACTTGGTTTCCCATAATCCCAACAAAGCCCGAAGAAGTTCAAAAGGATTCTGCTATAGCTGAACATTAAAGCTGCAACAAATACTCTGCAAAGAAAAACTACAAACCTTCATTTTAGCACAACTTATCACTGAAATGCGAATCACGTCAAAATCCTGACTACATTCTGTGTTCTCATGCATTGGTCACAAACCTCAGCATACCTGGTAACCATACATACACAAGTCCACAAACTCACATGCACACTCATCTGTCGTCCACCCTTTAGTCTATCTATTCAGCATTATAACTTCGGCTGTTTTTGTAACAAAACAAGGCCTAATCCTAAATTCAGGGAGCTGTGAATGTGCCTCAACAAATGGCAGACAAATGAGAAGGATTAGCAAGGGCCTGTGAAAGAGTGAAAGGTTTGCCATTGATCTACGGTGGTCCTGTTCTCTTTCAGGGCCACTCAGTTTGAAAACCCCACTGAGTAAGAGCATACAGGGCCACTCCAGAGCCCCCTAGGCCACCGAGAGACACACAACAGCCACAATTAGTCTCAGGAGCTGTAATGGCAATTCAATAAGCGCTTTAAAATTGTGCCTTAGTCCGTCTGCCACCCCACAACCCCTCCCAGCCATCCCATTTTCGTCTACATACATAAGATTGGTATTATGAGTGGCGAGGGTTCTTTTTTTTCTTTCCCACCCACCACAGTTCTATTCAGTCGCTGTGAGAGAAAATGACCACACAGGGTTTCAAAGGTTCCAGAGGCTGCGGTTTGTTGTCGCTGAAGCAGCATGACTTGTGCCCCTGTAGATTTTGGCTAAGGCCCTCAAAATGGGCTTCTATTATTACTTTTTTTCTGTCACTCAGCTGCAAATTAATTTTTAAGCAAGTCAAAGTAACCGCTTTTGTATTGGGCCATGCAGAATACCTTCAGCTGAGTATTGTTTTCATAGATGTGCAGATGTGAATTTGTACTGTAATTCATGTTTTGAATATTTCATTACATTGAATTCAAATAGAAAACATATCATTATTCTCTCAGCAGCCTAGCAGGTGATTTCATATATTCATTTCAGCGACAACTTTATAGCATGACTTACTCTGCTTACACTGATCAGATCAAACGCAGGCCAAACACCTGTGCTCCTGACATCAACACATCACATCACATCACAGCAGAGCAGGAGCTGAAGATGTCTTCTGGATGGCTGTCATTCCCATTCTCCAGGCTCTCTTTGGGACATTCCTCGTTGATTTTGCACAGTGTTTAGTTTTTTTTCTCTTCCTTTTGCTTCCTGATCAAAGGCCAGAGCTTTTGATCAGGACTTCCAAGGGATCCCTCTTGTTTTGCTGGCGAGCACACTGACAGGATAGTGGTGGAGCAATGATAATTACAGCTCCCATTTGGTGTCCCTGGAACTGGCACCAGCAGCCAGTCGCACCCTCAGGCCAAGAAGAAAGGAGAGATTTTTGGGCGTTTAAAAAAGAGGAGAGCCGAGAGGTAGAGGAGAAAAGATGGAGGACACGTTGACAAAGAGGTGAGTCAATCGAGAGAACAGGCAGAAAATGGGATTACTTTATGCCTTGCATGTTTGAGTGTCTGTGCCAGCTGATGGTTGGATGGCGATCATATGTTCAGAGTCACCTGCAACACTGAAACACACTGTATTTGCACAAAAACAAAGGGACACTGCTAACTTGTCAGCATTTTCATGAAGAAAGTGCAAAGTGTATTCGACAAAGTATTGACAGAGTATTCGGATTACTTTTTTGTTGTAAAAAAAAAAAATGAAACAAGTCAGATCTGCAACTTCAGTAATCCAACATTAAATTAGGATACTGTTGCATAAAAGTAATCTCGATTGTCTTTTTTTCATGATCATGTGAAGCCAAATTCGTAATTTCTATCAAAACTGGATTAATTGCACATATGAATATGCACTCAGTTTATTCAACTTGCAAAATGGGGCTGCATTTACTTTGGAGAAATACGCCCATAATGTTGAATTTTTGGACAAATTGGACACAATATCATGATAGACTTTAAGTTCAAGTTCAGTAGTCTTCATTGAAACAACAGTACCTGATATGCCTTTTCCCAGTTCGTGGTCAGAATTTTAACATGAAGAGGTGTAAAGGTTACGGCGTCTGTTATTCCTGATATTAGTTGCAGGTTTTCAGATAATGGGCTGTAAACCAGACTGTGCAAAGACGGGATGTAGACATACTGTGTGCTAAGTGCTGGCTGGACAATATAACGGACATATGTAATGTGTTCCAAAGGAGTTTTGATTTGGAAACCAAAAGTACTATTATTATGTAATGTAGTAAAGAAACAAGTTACTTTTTATTGGCAGTAATCTTGTATGGTAACGTCTTAATTTTGTCAGTCGAGGGCCCTTAGAATCATCCTGATTTTTCCCCCTATACGGCGCTCCTGTGTACCATACAGACATGTGAGTGGTTTCCATTTCTAAGCTAACCTCTGGCAAAAAAAAGTGCATTTGGTATAATATAAACCTTTCTTTAAAATTACATGAAAAGATTTGATAGATAAATACAACAGTAACATAAAGAGAACAATTACAAGCAGTCTTTAGAAATGTAAGCATCTCTCAATGGTGCATATCTGAGGACAATTACATTTGCATGGCAACAGCTCCACCAGACCCCCCATACTGATATTTCACTGCTGCACCCAGACAGAGCTGAGCTACAGTGTGACTTCACGCCATTCTGACCAGACATGTACCCCGTCACAGTAATCTCACATTATGACAGGCTGAAAGGTTGGCCTTTATTCACCCCAAACAGCCACTATTCATCACCGCCTCGCTTTTCTGTTCGCTGAAAAGACAGAGTGGCCTCCTGTGCCACTGGAGGGCTCGTCTGTGTGTAAATGACCTCGATGCTCGGTCCCATAGTTCATAGCCACGTAGCTTTCATCAGACACGGGGAGGTCCTCCACATCAACGCCTCTCCTGCTGTGAGTTTTTTCATGATTATGATGAGGACGGGGATTATCTGGGGCAGCTTGGATGGAGATGTTACCAGCACTTAACAATCATTGTCACACACAAGACACGTCCCCCGCCCCACCCCCCACCACCACCTTCAATTCTGTCTTCAAAGTTGCACTCGAGATTTAAAAAAGGACTTGCAAGCATGACTCATGATTTATGCACATTTTTTTTTATTGAAGTTTACCAAACTCAGCATGGACCAAGGCACTCAAATAACTTTACTTAGCTGAAATGAATCTAAACACGGTTTGTTCTGAGACTTTGCCTTTATATACAACCTACTGTTACTGGTCTATGAAAGCTGTTTATGATAAATGGATCACAAATGTACCTAGATAGTACCAGCAGTAATACCATACAAAATGAGCTGAATATGATGTCTTTTTACCCCTCTTTTTTTCTTACCAGTATGACCAGAATTCAACACAGAAAGTCAACAATTACAATATTCACCAACTTCAAACAGTTAAAGAGTACAAAATGTTTTAAATATATTAATTGTTCTATTAGCATCAGCCTTATTGTTGAAATGTTAGCAAGACTTGACAAGGAGACAGTAACAGTTTACTACTGTGTATAAAATAATCGAGGTACCTGCTAAAGACAACTGAACTGGCGTACCTACAGCTGCTATAATGCATTAAATGAGTCCAAGTGTCCTTTTATTATATCATTATTTTCACGACTGAACTAAAAACCAAGAATCTGAATCTTAGCTGTAGATTGTTGAAAGGAAGAAGCAGACAGAAGCATGCACAAACATACAAAAGGTCATGTCAGAAAATTCAGCTTGTTATCCCAGTAGTTAGCTTAGTTTCTGTTGTGTTATTGTCATATGTAGACATACAAAGACAGAACAACACAATTATTTCAGTCAGAAGAGATTTTCATCTTGTCTCCACAGCTCAGGTGAAAACCAGCGCCCTTTAACAATAATTAGTGTCCTTTCAATATATCCCAAGAAGCATTTCAAGTTCCTGTGAGAGCTTTCAGTTCATGCCGTTTTAGCTGTCCCCAAAAGTGGCCAAAGCAGTGGGTCCTATCTCCTCGATGCTTTTGTCCCGTAACTGTTAAAGTGTGTTTACTGATGAAAGCGTCGACAAAGGCATCTTTGGGCAGCGTGCTGTTCTAAGCTCATCTAACACCTACCCTCTGGCAGTGGTTAAAGGCATTACAAAGGAATATAGTTCATGTTGTTCCTAATGATCTTGCTTGCTTTTGTAGGTCACTAAAAGGCCTCAGCATTATTTTCAGTTTGTTTCATAACCAGCTTAAAACTTCTCACAGGAGCTTAAAACTGTAAAATTTTCAGTCAAAGAAGGTCAAAGGTGATACTTTTCTATCGCTACAGATTTGACAAGAATCATATTTTTCGTACCAGAGGTTTCCAATCTTATTTTTCCTCTTTTTTTTGTACCTTGTACAGTCACTCAAAGTCAGTGAACATCTGCTTTATATGCAGACATGCAGACAGATACTGTAGCCTTCTAATGTCATCAGAAAACGGAGGAAATAACTTAAAAGTACATATTATACTACCTCTACAAATGTTACAAGTCTCATCAAATGTATTTTTTTTTTTTGACAGGAGGATGGGATAATAAAGATAAAGAGCACTTTCACTGCTAAAACACTAGTGAGTCAAGTGAGCCAGTTGGTTGCTGGTCAGAGTTCAGACTTGGGCAGCTAGGAGGGGAGCATAGGCAGGAAATGAGTTGACGGGTGCCTTCGTCGGGCCTTGTGACCTCGCCGTGGCTTCCCTCTTCCGTTCAGGGAAACAAACATCTGCCTGCCACCGTGCTTCCAGCGCAGAGAGGCGTACGTGTTGTAGCCGTTCTCCTCGATGCGCTCCTTGAACTTGCAGCTTGGGTTATACTTCACCTGAAAAACAAGGGATGAAGACAGAAAGGTTAAGGAGGTTATAACAGATGAGTGTTTAGCGTCTGACTGCTATTCCTGCTGTGCTATGCTAGGCCGGCTTCCAAGAAGAGCACAAAGGTTAATGTCTGTTGTTGCACAGAAGGATTTTCCATGTGTTAGAGTAGTTGATATGTTGTTTTAGTGTTTTTCTAACCCTAAGTATTCTTCTGGGTTTCTTTTGAGAGCCACATGAAACGTTTTGTTTGAGTCTAGAAGTGAAGATTGGCGGTATGTTTTCGGTATGTGCTACTCAAGGCATTGGACATTTCCAATTAAAAAAACTGGAAAGCACCATGTCTTTCCAGTAACAATGTTGTGGTTACTCAAAATAATCTACAGGCCTCATGGTTAAGTTTTCATTGGGACAGAGCTCTGAAAAGTGATCAGTAACTGAAACTGATCACAATTAGGTCTGTTAAATATCTCGAGTCACCTGGATTTTGTAACTGGAAAGATTGTTGCTGCCAAAGTACAACACAAACCAGAGCATACCTTATTATTCCACACATAATACCATTATTATCAAGCAATATCACACAAGGAAGAGGGATATTGTACTGCATATCAGCACGGCTGTGATGTTGTCAGAGGCTTAAGTCAATGTCAGCCTTGCTGATACTCAGTTTCCTACATCAGCCCAACGTCAAGTGTGCTACTGGTTTTTATACAACTGTTCTACAAGCAGCCTATAGTATTAAAAAAAAAAAGAACCAGAAGATTATTTCTGATAATTTTATCACTCAGTTGTTTTTTTCCAACACAACTACTTCAACAACTTGACTGAACTATTTCCAAGCAAACCCCAAATTCTCCCGGCACTCTGGCTACCTTTTGTGACTTCATGTAACAGACAGACCAGTTACTTTGTTCTCAAACATGTATCTGTCTGTTTCCATTCACCATGCAGCCAGTGGATTAAGACTATGTTAACAGTTGCATTGATGGTCTATGTGATTTCTAAGTTATTATCCAGTCTGATAAAACTAGACTGTGATGTTAATTAACAGTGTTTGTTACACGACTGTGTTAAAAACTTGATTCTGATTGGCAAGTTATGCATAGCAATGGTCCGCTGTCCCTCAATAGCAGACAGTTGTTAAAGAGAACAAACCGTTTCTAAGAAAAGCCCTCGGTTGCTAGGGATGTGCCTCTTATCACAGATCATGTAGGACCAACTGTAATTATATCAATCCGCGGCTAGAAGTTGGCTTAATTTAATGTTGGTCTGTTTACCTGATGCAATAAAAAGAGGATAAAAGACGTACAAAACTAACACTGTGATAGAGAAAATTTACGAAACTGAAAACAGCGCATAAAGTTAACACAAAATTGGAACGTGCTATGGGATACAGTGGCATTAAAAGACTGCTGAATGAAAAAGAAATGTCAACAGATTCGGACATTATGGGGCAGAAAAACTCAATCAGGTGCTGCAATGAGGATGCAGATCTCTTCACCGTGTTCTACTTCACCATCAGTGGAAAAGTAACAGCGAGGTTAACTTAAATGTTCAGTTTAATGTGAGTAATGAAAGCAACAGTTCACTCTTTTTACGAGGGCTACAGAGTTAAGTGTTGTTGTGGATGCATTTTTAACACTTATCCATTCATACACCGCCACCGAAGCAGCGAGAGCAATGCAGGGTTAAGTGTCTTGCCCAAGGACACATCAAACATGTTGCTCAGCTGGGGATTGAACTCTACCTTTTTTTGGTTGAGAGGCGACCACTCACACTTCTTGTAGAGATTTGTTGATCTATGTAGGTAGAGTGAGTGTCAGCTAAAGTGTGTCTTATCAGTTTGTCAAAGATTCCTGAGAGATAAAAGTGACAAAAGGTTCCACGCAATCTCCTTCTCAGATTCTTATCATAGCTGCTTTAATGAGGTCCTGACTACATCAGATAGCATTGACTGGCATGATTCACTGCTTTTTTGTTACTATGGGAGTTAAGTAAAGACCTGGGTCTTCAGGTATGTTTACTGTGTAAGGCTGTTGAAGGCACTTGTGTTATCACTGCTGCTGACTGATTGCTTGTCCCTCATTCTCCAAGATATAAATACATGAGCTGCAGATACCGCACACCTCAGGTCTGATGTTTAGATGATTTTAACAAAGAGAGGTGATTTCTTTTAAAAGCTTCATGTGAGAACAACAGGCAGATGGCACGCAAGAACTTTGAGGAGTCCAGCTGGCTCTTTGTCTTTTGTGGTTGCGTTTCTTTACACTGATATCTATTTTGACAGTGGAACACGCCAACTCAGGCTGAAGGTATCATCCCACATGGCCCAGCCAGGTGTACAGCAATGAAGGATTGTAACACTTTGACCTTTCTGGACTTTCACAGCAGAAGATTCCTGACATTTCCAGAATCCAACATGTTTGGGTGGGCACTCATTTGGGACCCCTATACACATACTATACCTCCCCATACGCTCACCTCCCTTCCCCCTTTCCCTCCCATTTTGAACCCCAGAAACATTGTTTCCAGGTTGTATACGCACCGATCCAAAGAGCGTGCCTTTCTTGGACATAGCTAAGTACAGCCCAGTGCTGACAGATTTGATGGCGACAACTCCCACACTGACAGATCGGATTTCCATCAGGCCTGGAAAAATAAAGGAGAGAACAAGAGTCTGGGTTACAAACATCTAGCATTGGTAGTTTTACCATCAAAAGAGACTCAATCAATAGCGATTAGGATTCCAGACTGACATATGCTCTGGGGAGAAAAAACAAAAAAACACACACAGACGAATAGAACATGCACAATGACCTTAGCAAGCTTACATTGTGGAAGACCTGGGGAGATAAATGCATGAAAAAACAGAAGGTTAAGGTTAATTATACACAAATAGGCGGGAAATTGTGAATATTTTCACATAGACACTTAATTGAAGTATGCATCCTTGTCTCAGACAATATCCTTGGTCAACATAATGTAAATCTGCCTTGCTGTTTGCAGCCACTTAAACCTCCAGACTCCAGATGTGATGATGCCTTACATTGTTTACTGAGGGACATAAAAACCTGTGTCTGCTGGACTCTTAAGCATCCTCTCCAACACACTTCAACCCATGAAAAAAGCTGCCAAGCTTGTGAGCTAATTGTTTCCTCTGGGCAGTGATTGCAAACAAGTCCCATGTGGCTAACTCTTGATCTGGTTTTTGTCTGCATACAAAAATAAAAGGCATGCAGCCATTGTCATGGCTACATGAGGGAGATGTTTTGGAGATGACCCGAGGGCGTACCACAGGGTGCTGAATAGCTGCTAATTACTGAAGATGAAGCTCTCTCTTGGATGGTTTTATTTTTTCTGGCTTTATTTCCCCACTTACACCTTCAAAAGCACCCTGATGGGGCCTGTTATCAGATCAGTGCACGATATCCTCTTTTTACACCCCTGGAAACAAGTCCGTGCAGGGAAAACATGTAGTGTTGTTGCTCAAAGACAAGGCCCTGCTGGATGTTTGTAAAAAAACAAAACAAAAAAAGAGACTCTTGTCCTTGGACAGATGCTGTAAACATAGCACGAGATCAAGGTGATGAAGGACAGGGTGACCCAAGCTGGTAGGAAATGAAGAAGTCACAGAAGTAACAGCGGGCACCTGGCCATCCGACTGACCATCCCCAGCTGCATCCGTACAACCACATTACTGTACAAGGCCCTGACTGAGTTCCTCAGCGCTCTCGCCTGTTAAAACCATCCAGCAATGAAAAATAAACGCTCACAGCAGGGTTTCAAAGGTGCTGCCGTATTTGTTTGTGCAAATCCAAATTTGTTTTGGAGAGAATAGTGAGGCTGAAATTGGCACAAATACTTAAGTTACTATGTTTCATATTTAAAAAAAATCATTCAACATTTCCTTCTCAGAATGCTTATAAGAAAAGCTCACATTTTTTCAGGTACCCTTAATACACAATTTGCCTTTAAGATGAGAAGTTATTTAAATTCGAATGCTCTAAGATGGCTGATTTACAGGATGAAATCTGTTGTCTGTGCCTTCCCAGACCATCAATAAATCTGATGAATGACATTAAGACCCTATGGCAAATGTTTGGTAAAGGTTGGGACAAAAAGAATACTAGGTTGGAAGTATTAACCACGGATTTGGTTAAAAAAAATGGAGGATTCTGTTTGTCAAAAAACCTAATAAAAAAAACTTTATTAATCCCTGAGGAAAATCCTGGTTTATACTGCTTCTCACACGCACAAGCCCAAAATACACACATGCACAAACAGGACCTGTGGATATACATTAATGGAGAGATGTGTGAGTGGGGCTGCTACACACTGCTACACAGGAAGCGTGCCGGAGCTGTTGAGGGTTCAGTGCCTTGCTCGAATGTACCTCGGTACTCAGGAAGTGACCCGGCACCTCTCCAGCAACCAGACCAACTATTTTGGTCCACATTGGGACTTGGACCAACAAAACACCCGGTTCAAGTTCCTGCGGATTACGGTAATAGTTGAGGGCAGCTACTGCTGAAATAGCCAGTGCTGTCATTTGTAATCGGAATATAAGACTCAGACGCCCATTTATGCTGACAAGGAGTTTAATGTTTTCTTTCACCATACTTCCTGTCATTAGGCTACTGACTGCCAGAGGTTCCATTTTGTATGTGACATGAATTGTTTGGGTACAAATCCAAGAACTCTGATCTGTCTCCCTCTGTTTGTGTTAAAATAGTCAAGGAGCAATAAGAAAAACAGTTGCCAAAAACTGTAAATTATACTGACATGATTTCTCTAATTCAGATGACTGAATACTCACTGATTTCTAAAATGCCACTTATAAGTTATGGTTATTGTCCCAATTTCAGCCGCCCAAATCTGTTTAAATGTATATATTGGCATTCAGGCGTTCATGGACTTATAAAATGTGATGATTTCATTTAAAATGTTGTGACGATTTTACAATATGTGTCTATTGTCCTGATTATGCCAACACTATATTATTCCATATTCTAACAACATGCACAGATGCTACCATGTAACTACCTGTTTCCCACAGGATGGCTGTTAATGTCATCAGACTGCTGTTTCTGGTCTCATAGAACACATCTGAAGGGCTCTAAAACTTAAAAACACACATCTGCTGCCCCCATCTCTCTAAGCACGCAACTATCTCAAACCTTTGTTTTCTTCAGCTCTGAACATCACCAGCCATGCTTACCCTGTGAGGTCATCTACTTCAGGCACAGACACAACGGAGTACAAAGAGTAAAGAGGAGGACAGAAAGGCACAGGAAGGTAAACAAACACAAACTCCTGTTGAGTGTCTTTCTTCTCTGACAGGAGCGTGTAAAAGAAAACCTCTCTAGGCTCCACACAGCTGCAGGGAAGGAGGGAATGCCTCAGTCGAGGAAATCCAGGTACAAACCCAGCTGCACCCCCATCGTTCCCGCATCGCCTCTGATCCTCCGAGGAAACATTAACACTTAGATGGCAGCCTCCTCTTTACGAGCTGTGTTTACAAACACCGGGTGTGCTACAGTGGCACCTGGAGCGTGCAAGCGACTCATAAGCAATTAGTTGAGGCCCGGCTGGTGATTGGAGCGCTGCAAGGATTTATGGGATATTAGTCCAGGCCAATGAAAACCGCTGGTGCCTGAAAGTGGTGCTAGCGGTAATTGCCATTATTTGCTGCTTGGGTTCCAGGCACAGTAGGTGTGTTGGAAGGATGTTTGTCACAACTGAGACATTTCAAAGAGTTGGTCATAAAAGAAAACATATCAGGCTTTGAAAGTAACAAAAAACATGCAACTGCTAGATACTAGATTTAATACAAGAAAAAAGAGTAAAAATTAAAGTTGATTTGGTTGATCTGTGACATTTGTTCTAACAACAAAACCTATCAATAACTACTGAAGAAATGTATCACTTAGGATTTGACAAAACTGTGGTAAAGGTTTGGTTAAAGACGGTCACTACAACAACTTGGTTGGTTTTAGGAACAAGTAAAATAAGCACATGGACACATTTTTGTTTCAGTTTTGAAACAGTTGGCTGTGGAACAATAAAAAAAAAATGGATTAAAGATTTGAAAAGAGAAAACTTAATGATTAGATAGAATTAAATACATAAAAATTATGGAGTTGGTAAAGCACTTTATTAAAAAAAAAAAAAGGACCATTTTGGGTCTACTAGTAATATCTGTGTACTTGTATTGACAATACAGAAGGACAGTCATTTTCTCCTGCTCCTGGTCTTGCAGGTACCCTGCATGTCACTCCATTCAAACATGCTGGTGTAGCAACCAGACGACACAAAAGATCAGAGCACATGAAATGGGGATTTCACATAGTCTGGAGGAATCACTTGGGCTCTGGACGCTTGACCACACATCTATAAAGACCAGTTAGATCCATATAACTCCCAGTCGCCCCTTTGAAAAGTCACTCCATTGTGTTCAAAGCCTGAGAAATCAGAGCGAGCTATTCCAGGCCATTAGAGGGGCTTCCTAACTGCTGAAATCCCAAGGTCACATTACTGGAAGTGTTGGTAAGATTCATGAGCTGCTTAGTCTACAGACTTGGAGACATGTGCGTTAATATTGCAACATTTTTCTGAGGTTCAACATTTTTTACCAGAATTTTGACTTAATAATCTATCAAGGGATTTGAGTTAGGGCAAGCCTTGTGTTACTTAATCTTGCGTAACCAATAACGTCATTTGAGGGTAACATTTTTTAGTATTTTTCCAAATTGTGAATCTTTAAAATGTTTTTTAAAAGTATCACTTTAGGAAAGAATAAAGAGAATTAATGGCGACAAATTAACTATTTGTTTCTGAGTTCACATTGCAAAGGTCACTCCTGCTCCGCTTTCTGCTGAGCAAGTATCAACTCATGGCCCTATTGAACTCATGAAAAAGGTACTTTTGGCTTCCCACTTGCAATTGGCAAGATCTCTTAACCTTTGACATGTTTTGGCTGGGACTGTCAATAAGCCCAAGCTGCCATTACAAGCAAATCCTGCACTATACGAGTCTAGTCAACTGTGGACTTGCCATTTATTTCTCCTCTATGGGATTTTTTTAAAGCATAGAAAAAGTCTTTCACCCAGTCTTTTTTATACTCTTTCTTTCTCTCCATCCCCTATTTTTTGGACGTTAGCCCATCGTCAGATCATTCAAGCCTTTTCTGACTTTGAAAAAAAAGGGGCAGAAAGGAAAGAGGGAGACACTCTCACGGGGTTCTCTTTTGTCAGATTCATGGTATAGGGGAGGAGGAGGAGGGAGCAAGTACAGGGTGAAGGTGCTGGTTATAAGCTTCAATAAATCTTTGTTACTCACCTGAGAGGTGAAGAGCTAGACAAGATCTTATTAATGACCGAGCAGTTTGAATGGGCCTCTACAAAGTGTGGCAAAATGGTTCCTTTCATCCCGAATTTCAAGCCGCAAAGAGAGAAAGACTGAGCACAGAGAGAGTGAGGAAAATAAATTTTTCTGCTCCGTTCCTCCGGTCTTCTTTTTTTCCCTTTTCCCAGGTCTTTAATTTCTTGGGTTGCACCCTTGAGCAGCTCTCCATGGCTCAGTGCTCGACCAGAGCAAAGCCTGGGAATCTTGGAGTTCCCGCTGTGGCCCTGCTCTTGATTGACATACCT